AAAACATACGAGTTTTGGCAATGTCATATCCATCCAACGGAAACGCGATCTGCTTGGCGCAGTTAGAGAAAAATTCCTCGGTAGACAGTATTGAGGAGGAGTTTGAGAAAATCCAGTATCTGCTTCGCGAGAACGATTATCCTGAGATTCACTACAAATAATGTGGCAGCATGACCCACAGCACTATTTTTCAAAGTCCTCTTATAAGGGAGTGCGGCAAGTGAGCTCCTAAGAAGGCGCCTTGACCAAGCCGTGTCACGAAACTTCTCAGCAACGATAGTTCGGGTATTATTGTCAACCAACCCCATCTTGCACGGGGGGTAAGAATAGATTGCTAGCTCAGATCATCTCCATATACATCTTATTTAGTTGCTCCTGCGGAGCAAATTACATTCGTCGCACAAATCAGGACTTGTCCGAAAAAAATAAGGGAAACTCTTCCGGTGTGGCTGAGAAAAAGTGAAGTCAGGAGCAGAAACAGCCTTGTCGACATCGTGTGGACCACAACGAAGCCTTCCGATGACTTAAGTTTCCAGCAAGTTACCTCGGGCCTCTGGGTCAGCGCCTGCTATCAACGGTCGAAACTACCGCTATCACTTTGAGGAAGTCGGTCATGTGCACGCAAAAGAACATCCTACAAGCTCCGCTCCTTGTATGGCCAACGGACACTTAACTACGTTCTGTCCTCCCTTTTTTGGGCCGGCTACGCCAAACATCCACCGCGGCTTAACCAGCCACCCATTATTAACCTCCCCCTCTTCCTCCTCCCACTACTCATTTGTATGATAAGACGAAGGTTGATGACCGCATGTTTAAACTTGTATCATACGATACATACGATTGATTATGGTTGGCTGATGACGAGTAATAAGCCAGAATTGGCCATTACAGTCTCCCATGTCTTTGTCCGTAGTGTATTTCTGCATATAATATACGCTAGCCGTTGAGCGGCTGCTGAGCTCGAGACAAAGCTCCGAGGCAAAATGCGACGACTGAGTTCCGTAACCGATCGGTTAGCGTCTATATACCATTATGTAAACGACACTGTTAGAATACAGTAGGAGCACGGTTACGTTATAGATTCACGCGAATGCACAACAAAATAAGCAGCTGTCAATGCTGGCTGGTTGAGCGGGCGCAGTGAGATCAAACGATGTTAGAGCAGAGTGTGGTGGAGGCAACTGACACCAAAGATTTAAAAAAACAATATCAAAAGGACTACGAACAAGGATAGACAACTCACCATAGAGCCAGTACAGAGGGATGTCTCCTCACCACCGAGGATGAAGTGGACATTGTTGTCATCACTGCCGTTAGCGGGTGACTCGCTGCGGGCCTTTGAATCAGCTGTCAGACTCTGAACCATAGTCGATAGGCTCTGGGTGCTGGAGTTGCCAGTGTTGGTGCGACTCAGGGCTTGACCGCTGCCCTTCACCCGAGACATGATACTCTCAAGCTTTTGACGACGTTTCGCTCTTTCCTCCTCCTCGTGACGCAAAGTTTCCAACCGCTGGCGCTCGAGTTCCTTCCGCTGGAGGAGAG